GCAGTGGTCAAACACATAGATTTTGGAGTAGGACTGTGTTGGCTTGAACCCTTTCTTCCCCTCTCGTATATGCCCTTGGACAAGTTAAAGTGCCTCAATTGGAATTCAGATCAGTGAGGCTAATAACAGAACAACTATTATAGGATTGTTTTGAAGATTAAATGAATCATACCTACTGAAAAATATGTTTCCAATAAATGGCAGTTTAAATTATTACACAATCTCTGTTGCAGAAAAAGTTCCCTCGCTGACCCCTTTGAATCAGATCAGCACCCATAAATCCTTTCTATTCAGAAAATTTGGAGAACTTTTGATTTCTACAAGATATGCTAAGCATTTTCTGCTTTTTCCACATTGACCAACCCACTAACTCTTTAAAAATGATAGGTTTGCCATGTTGTAAAATTAAAAGACACCATCTACCCAATGCCCAAAGTAGAGAGTTGGTAGAAAACCAAATAACCAGGAAAGCCCAGGCCATGCCGACCTGGAAGGAAGGCCTGTTCTTCAGTCTGTGGGCAAGGGCAAGGCCAGCATTTCCAGACAGAGTCAGGTTCTGAGTAGAAATCAGCCATCATGGGTCTAAATTTCCATGTTCACCTCAATCTCACATTTCTGCAACTCCAAACATTATCCATTATTATGATTTGATCAAATCCACCAAAGGGTACAAATGCAATTAAGACTTGAGACACTTCCCATTTCCATATTTCAAATGCCAAGCAACTTCTTGAAAAAATCAGAGTTTCCAGAACTCTGTGCCCAGATTTCAGACCAAGAGCTAGGAACGATAGAAACCCCATATAATCCAAACCCACACAACACAGCCAACTCTAGATTCTAACATTTAACCCAAGTGATCTCATTTAGAGGAAAAGAAAATTCACATCTTAAAAAAAAAAGAAAAAGAAAATTTGTGTCTTGCAGAATTATTATATTCTGAATGGATTCAAGAAGAATTGGGGTGGGTGCCATTTCATCTGGGCTATGAGTAGCTTTCTTGTCCCCGTGAGAATTCATCTTGGGGGAAAAAAATTGATGTGAAGCTGAGGTTGTGAGAGCTCTGCCCAGATCCCAGTAACAGGGAGAGGACCTAAATGCACAGGGAAACAATTCTACTTAGAAATGTCACACTGCAGGTTGCCAATTAAAAACCTTTATTGTGATGCAGTCAGGCATGGAAGACGTTGTGTGTTATGAGAAGACTTAGAGACACTTGTGTCACTGGTGGGTGGATGTCTTCCGGTTGACTTGTGCTGTGGAATCAGCCTCCTCATCTAAAGAGAGGGAGGGTATTCCCACCAGTAACTGTAGGATTCAAGGAGTTGTTGCAAGAATGGAGAACACCAATCTGGACTCAGAGTATTGTCCTAGAACTGACTATTTCTATTATGAAATTCTCAGTTCTCTGAAGCTCCATGTATCTCGTGTACAGGGAAGGATTTGAACTAGAGAGTCTCCATACCTCCAGCTACAGGAAATGGAATTCTATATCTACTTGGTATTATATATCATTTTACTTGCTTCCTTTCACAAAGGCCCTTTGTTGTGGAATTCCTTGTCCCTGACCCTGTCCTCTCCCTGTAAACACAATCTTCAGAAATTAGCATTTTATTGATTTTGACATGCACTGTCGTGGATGCTCTTGTTTTATGTGTTTTAATTAAATGTTATCATTTGCCTCTGTGTCCCGAGGCCATATATGGGAATGGGTGAGATTTCATAAATCAGACCTGGAGCCCATGTTGAAAAATCCATTGATTCTTCTTGCCATGTCACTGAAATTATTCCTCTTGGATCCACAGAGAAGCTCTGATGTCTTTACCTCAGAGAGAAGGCTTCTTTCCATTTATCTCCCAACTTGTTGTAAACATACACAGCACTTCTCCAAATCTCATGCTCCCCTGATATAAAACTGATTTTTTTTTTTTTTTTGCTGTTTTCAGAGTTGGTTGGTACTGTCATTAGATGCTGCCACATCTCTCAGAGCCACCTCTACTTGGGAACTGCAGCTTGGTGTCCTGTCTTGCGACTGCAGCTCCTGCCTGGTCCTATCCCCAATCCCATTTGAGTTCCCTTTGTTGCCTGCATTGCACTGCAGACTCTGGACTACTATTAACTCTAAACTTTTAGATGCGTACATTGTCAAGGATATCATTTTTATTATGTCTCTATACTCATGTGTTTGCTCTATGCACATGGGCTCACTCTAATTGAGGAGAGAGAGAGAGGAATTTGCACATCTCCCAAGTATAATCACCCTAGAGGCATTGAGATTCATCTCAGACTCTGCGCACCATCTGGGACGAGAAAGACTGTGGCTAGAGGAAGAAGAGGCTGTGGGTTTTTGAGAGCATCACTCTTTTATATTAAGGCCAAGCAATGTTTATGTTTTAAATATATAGCTCTCCATTCTATATAGTGAATTCCTAGAATAATTTGGAGATGAAGGTGGGAGGTAGAAGATGGGAAGGATCACTTATTAACCATTTTTTGTTCATGCTCAATAACTATTTCTTGATAGCATATAAGTTAAGAATCCAAGTCAATAAGCAGGGATCAGAGGGCGAGGGGAGCATCTTCCTCATAAAACAAACAAAGGTAATTTTAAGAGGGAAGAATCAATGGAATTTATTTGGTATTATATATCATTTCATTGCTACAATCCAGGTAACTAACACATTATAAATCCTTACTAAATATTTGTTGGAAAACAAATAAATATTTGTTGAATGAAAAATAATAGATAAGTAGATGTTTCTCAAATGAGTGACTACATAGAAATTAGGGATCAGAGCAAAGACCAGAGTCCCCTGTCTTCTCCAATCCAAATCTGCCCTCTTCCAGGAAGCAGGGCCTTTCCCACTCCAGCATTTTTATTTTTCTGGATTTCGAAAGCCATCCAGTGTTGCTTGATCATGCCTTTCTTTACTTAGTTAGCTAATCTTGTTGAGCACCACGTACCAGGCACCATTCTAAGCGTTCCATGCACACCTCATTTAATCCTCAAAACAGCCTGTGAGGCAGGTATTGTTGCTACTGTTATTATTATCATCTTCAACTTCCTAATGAGGGAACACAAAAGGGCTAAACGATGTGGCCTAAGTCACACAGCTAGTGGGTACCAGAGTCAGAATTTAAATCCAGGCAGTTAAACCACAGACCTTTTATCCCGGGCCTTATGCATGCTATCAAGTACGCTACCACCTTTTAAAACACCACTGTAGGCTGCTTCCTCCTTTGCCATGGACTGATTTTCAGTTGTCTCATGTCAGCCTGGCTCTAGCTGTCGTCATATTCATTCAGTACCTATTTATTAAGAACCTCTTCTGGTTGAGGAATATTCTAGACTGTCAGAATGCCTGCCTCACCAAATTTACATTTTAATGCAGGGAAACAGACAATACAAGCCAATGAACCAACTGAAAAGATAATGAGAGAGCATCCCCAGTGCATAAAGAAAATAGGATGGAGCAATAGGAGCGGGAGGACCTGAGGCACAGGAGCTTCATTAGGTTCTGTGGTGAGAAAGAGCTGTCCACACCGGGTCCTGAGGAAAAATCAGCCAGCCCTGTGAGGATCGGAGGGAAAAGTGAGCCAATCAGCAGGTACGAAGGCCCTGAGGTAGAAATAGCCTTGGCAAGTTCCAGAAAGAGAAAGATGGCTGGAGAGTAACAATCAACAGGGAAGGGAGGAGGGGAGCAGAGTCCAGATCCTGCAGGTCTCAGAAAGTTGGAATCTATATGCTATTTGAGAAGCCACCGGACATAGCACAGTGCTGAGTCTCCAGTGGACAGTAAATGGCCCCACATCTCTACACCTGAGTGCCTCTAAGCTACCTGGTACCACTGAGCACTCCCTCCAAGGCACCTATTTATCCCCCCTAGTCACTGATTTATGGGGTGAGCCAATAAATCCACACAGATCTGGATCCAGATTGTCAGAGTTTTGATCCCTCTTCTCTCCTGCTCACAGGTTGAATAACTTTTGGCAAATTAATGAATCTAAAGTTCAATTTTCTAGTCTGAAAAGTGGGATCATAAAGCACAAATCCCAAAAGACTACTGAAAGGATTACATGAGATAAGCATATTGTGCTCCCTGCGGTGCTAGAATGTAAGAAACAGGCCCGCATAGGCCCTTTTTAGGTTGTGGTGATTATTTTTATTAATTATGCTAGGAATTCAACCCTGAAGTGCAAATACTTCCTAGCAGAAAGGGCTGGAATCCCTGGCATCAGCTATACTGGTTTCTTGGCACTTAGGAACAGATCAGTGAAGAGGGTCTGAAAAGAAAATTAAAAATGGTATGACCCCAAACATTTATTTCCCAAATTATATGATTTCTATTTTTTTTAATGCAACCTACTGGAAAGTTCTAAACTTATTCATTTAGAATTCTCTCCACATTCCATTCTGTTTCATGTACAATGACATCAGTGTACCCCTCTAATGGAGAATCAGTAACTGAAAATGGGGGCAATAGGACCAGAAATTCAGTTCTAAGCCAGATAAAAAGAGAAGAGCGTTTAACCCAAGGAATGTCCAGGCAGGATTTTTGTTCAGATTTCCTGAGAAATAGAAATTTTATGGAAATGCTAGACTGAGGCCTCCACCCCTGTGCTGTTTTCTTTCTTTGGTGCCCCAAAGACCAAAATTAAGAACCAAGCCCTGGCGCCATCTCCTGGCAGTCTCGAAATATACGTTTAATGCAGAGGACCCCTCCCTCTCTTTAACAGAAATTAAGTTCAGGAAGAAAATCTGGTAATTTCATCATGATTTCTGTGTTTTCCATCTCCTTTTAAATATTTTAATCAAGAAGAGCAGATGGGAACAGTATCAGCCAATTACAGTCCCCACAGGGACAGTTCCTGCTATGTCACCGTTTTCTTTGTTTCTGTAAAAGCTCATCACTCAACAAAGCTATCAGCGACCAGAGGCAGCACATTTCTCCTCAGTGGGACAGAGACAGCCCCACTCCCACCCAGGCACCCAGTCTTACCTGAGGGTCCTCCTCTGCCCTAATTAGCATCTTCAAAGGCTTCTACTTTCTCAAGATTCTTTACACAAAGAAATCACTCTTGGCCTCTGTCATCAAAGAGTTGGACTCCCAGCTACTGCAAAGCTGCAAGCCTAAATTCACCTCAGTACCCAGAATTCCATGAAAAGAAAAAAAATGGCTCCCTTGCCATCATATCCCCGTTCACTTTCTAAGGCTCTGGTGGGAACGGCTCACTGACTGGCCTGGATAGCTTTACAGGTTGTATCCAGCTTCAGACTCACCTTCAAGCCAGATAAATTGGCATCATTTAGGCACCAAGCACAAAAATAACCAGAAAAAAAATAAAACCTGCTGAGTTGCTGACTAAGGAATTAACCAGAACCACAAAGAATTCTAGTTTATTTCTCTGGAGAGACTGCAGGTCAGTTTGAAAAGAAGAAAATCATTGCCTGAGGCTAGTTCCTCCCCACTCTATTCAAAGATATACATCTACTTATTTGAAGTACACTGAGCCCTTTCTGCTTACCAGGTAAAGCAGTAAGCACTTTGCCAATAGTTAGTTCCTCACTCCATCTCAATAGCAACCCATGCAATAGATGTCATTTGTATTTCCACTTAACAGAGAGAAAACAAACCCAGAGGGAGCTTAAGTAACTTGCCCAAGATTCTCCAGCAAATAAATGGAAGAGGAAGGATTCAAATTTGTACTTCATGGTTCTTCTTAATCACTGTAATAAAGTATCTTTAAGAAACCTAGAATTTTCTCAGCACTGCTGAAAACGTTACAGTCACTTCTAATATTTATTTGCAGGAAGAATGAAACAGAGTAATTCTCCATGAATGAAGAAGGTACTATCCAGAGCCCTGTGAATATGTGCATGGTGGGGAGACAGGAACTGCATTATCACCAGGCACTGCTGTGTATTAGTCCTTCTAGAACAGGATGCAGCCAATACAATGCTTTCCTAAGTCTTTACCCACTTGATGCAGTTAATGAACTATAATCCTTATCCCTAGCCAGTGTTTTAGAACTCTGCCATTAATTTTCTCACACAGTCCATGCCTAACAATTGATTTCCCATAGTTATTTTGCAAAAAAAAAAAAAAGCATAAAAATAGCCAGTGTTTTGTTGTTGTTGTTGTTGTTGTTGTTGTTGTTGTTGTTGTTATTGTTGTTGTTATTTTGTTTTGGAGGAGTTTTTGTTTTGTGGCTTTGCTTTGTTTTTGGTACTGGGGATTTAACCCAGGTGTGCTTTGCCACTGAACCACATCCCTGCCCTTTTTATGTTTTATTTTGAGACAGAGTCCTGCTAAGTTGCGTAGGGCCTTGCTAAGTTGCTGAGGCTGGTTTTGAACTCATGATCTTCCTGCCTCAGGCTCCCAAATCACTGGGATTACAGGCATGCTCCACTGTGCCCAGCTAGCCAGTCATTTCTAAAACCCAATATCAACAAGTGCTCTTTGGGAATCCTTGACTTACCAGGTCCTGATAAAGACATTTCTTTTGACACTAAAATACCAAGGACAGCAACCTGTCTCTTGCTCTTTCCAAAGTTTATAGAATGATGAGGTCTAGCCTGATTGAATTGGAGGAAGGGAGACAACCTTTCTTTGATACTAGGATTGAACCTAGGGTTGCTCTACCACTGAAGTACATTCCCAGTATTTTTAATGTTATTTTGAAACAGGGTCTAAGTAAGTTACCCAACTGGCCATCCTCCTGCCTCAGTCCCCCAAGTTTCTAGGATCACAGGTGTGTACCACCATGCCTGGCCAAGCCTTTAAGAATCATAAAAAGCAGTCTGGGGCTGTAGCTCAGTGGTAGAGTGCTTGCCTAGCATGTGTGAGGCCCAGGGTTCAATCCTCAGCACCATATAAAGGTAAATAAATAAAATAAAGGTATTGCATCCATCTACAACTAAAAAATTTTTTTTTAAAAAAAGAATCATAAAATGCTTTCAGGATTCCTGATTCCAGAAGCCACCCACCCTCTCTCAATATATACAATTTATATTTTTTCCAGGTAATATTGGATTTTTTTAAAGAAAAATATAGAAAATTTTTAAGCATTCATTAACCATCTTTTGGGTTACTGGCACTGTGTTGATCACATTGGTATCAAAGAAAGTTCCTCATACTTCTTCAAGGTATTTATACCCTGGTTGGAGACATGACCCACATATGAAGCAGTTGGAGAGCAAGACTTGGCAGTAGTATCAGGTGTGAGATGGAAAGCTACAGATAATTGATATCAATGCTCAGAAAGGAAACCGGACAGCATTGGGGAACAGTCACGGAGGAAGCTCATGGCTTTGCCACTCATTCCCCATCCTCGCTGTGCCCCACTGGACCTCAGTTACATGATCTATAAAACGACAGAATGCGGTTATTCTCTCAACAATTTTTTTCTGAGTATTGACCATAAACCAGGCACTCCGTGTGGTTCCAATGAGTCAGTGTTGAACAAGACCATGTCCTTGACCAGTGGATGTTACAGGGTGGTGGAGGAGAAGGAAAAGGCAGACAATAGACAAATAGATTGCATGGTAGGTAGAGAGAAGGGCCAGGAAGAATCGTAAACCAAGGTAAGGGATAGTGGATGGGGGAGGGGGCGTGTCAGGAAGGGCAGCTCGGGAAGACCTCACAAGCAGATAGGGTGGGCATGTAGATGAAGTGAGGGGGCAGCCCAAACAGACACCTGTGGGAAGAGTATTCCTGGAAGAAGGAACAGCAAGACAAAGGCCCTGAGATAACAGCTTAAAAAGTCTGAGGAGCAGCAAGGTGGTCAGTGTGGCTAGATGGGTGCTGGAGAGTTGGGGGACATGCCAAGCAGAGTGGACCCCGATCTAAAGGCCTGCTCGCCACGGTGAAGCATTCAGATGGGAAGCCTGTGAAGGCTTAAGAAGAGTATCTCCAACAAGCTCCCATTCTAAGAGTACATCCTAATGTAAGGGACACCTCATTCCTGGGAGGAGTAGGATCTGGAATGGGGGAGTACAAATGCTAAGTCATCACAGATAAGAGGGTATGGGCCCCTTTACAGGTGCAAGATAATTTAATTAGGGAAGTAACCAAATTAAGGAGTAGGGAAATTTATTAAAAGTAGAAGTTCAGAGAGGAAAGAGAGTCTCAGATATTTTATGAGCACATTGGGAAATACCTAATGCCAGTGTCCTGCTGCTGTCCCTCGTCTGTCCAGAGACTTCCAATGCAGTGCCCGATCAGGAGCAAGCAAGGTCCTGTCCTCCTAAACACCAACCTGCCATTCAAAACTCACTAGTCCTGAGCTTGATTGCCAATATGATCTCTACTATGGATAACAGTTAGCCACGAACACTAATTAAGCCCAAGCTAATTGTTCAGTGCATCTCAAGTTTCCTAGAAGTCTGCTGAGGCAGAACAGAAAATAGTGGCCCTAGGACATCTGGAAGGTGGAAGGTGAGAAGGCGCCCATCACAAGCAGTAAACTTAATTGAAGATTCATGTTTTATCATAAAAGTCATGTGAATGCTGCACTCTATTTCAAATCTGTAGGAACTTCACAGCCATGTTTTATCTTAGTCAATGAGCAAATGTGACCCTCAAAGAAGATATGCTACATTAATCCTGTACTTTGCCACACATCGGGCACACTGTGCTGTATTCCCCGGACTAGGCAAACTTGAAAAGCATTAGATTGATAACTAAATCCAATTAAAGCATTCATCTCTCAGGAAAGAACCTAAGGAGTTGCTGATATTGGGGATTTCAAGGATCAAGGCTCGATATTGAGAAGAATGTATAAGGCCGTAGATGTCTTCTTAGAGACCTAATGCCAGGACAGATTCTGCAATTGTTTATCTTATGAGAGCACAAGCCATTTCAAATATGAGTTGAGATACCAATACAAGTTGGAGATATTCTGCATCTTAACCATCTCTGAACATCTGCAGGCTTTACATGTGCACACTATGGCAGCCCCACAGCCATTTCACATGGGTGAGTAAATTCCTTCAGTGTCACATGTTCTTAGAAGGTGATGCTGAAATGTCTAAGAAAGCATCAAAAAAAGAACCCTTCTTCTGTTGACTCGTAGTAATTCATAGCATCTCTAAATGACCATGTTTGTCTTATTGTGTTTGTTTACTATCTGACAATATCTTGACTCATACTGTAGTGGATTTGAGTTAAAATGAATACAGAGTATGTTCATTTGGGGATGGGGAGAAATTGGGTTGATACACATATCCATCAACACCACTGTGACTACACAATGCCGTATTAAAAATATTTTAAGATAACTTACTCTAAATACTATCTTTCCAAAATGTGGTATATGTACACAATGGAGTATTACAGAAGAGGAATGACTTTTTAAAATGTTTTTAAGTTGCCGATACACACATTACCTTTATTTACTGAACCCATTGCCTTACACATGCTAAGCAAGTGCTCTACCACCAAGCTACAACCCCAGTCCAGAAGAAAGACTTTTGATATTTGCAAGTAAATAGATGGATCTGGAGACTATCAGGCTAAGTGAAATTAGCCAATCCCAAAGGCCAAAGGTCAAATGATTTGTAGAAGCTAACCCACAAGAAGGGGGGGAAAGGTGAAGAATAGATATTCAGTAGATTAGATAAAGGGGAATGAAGGGAAGGGAAGGGAGATAGGAAAAGGAAAGACAGTGGAATGAATCTAAAATAATTTTCCTGTGTACCTATATGAACACACCATAGTGAGTCCCACCATCGTATACATCCATAGAATTGGGTCCTAATTAGAATAAGATATATCCCATGCTTGTACAATTATATAAAAATGAATTCTACTATCATGTATAACTTAAAAGAAACAATACAATAAAAAATTTTTTAAAAATCTATAACATGCAAAAAACATCACATTTATTATTCATTAGTCAGTGCAAAGAGAATGTATTTTTGAAGTCCTTAAAAATCTATTGAGTCACCAGTCAAAACCTTAGTTGTATAATGTATGCAATTTCCTTTCTGTAGCAAATATTTTTTATTGTTGATATCTCTTTGTTCATTTTTGAAGTGTAAGATAGCTTATTGATAAAGGGATAAGTGATTTTAAATGTTATCTTTGTTTTTGTTGAAATTATAAAGAAGAAATTAAGGTCAAGAGTTAAGCTCAGTGGTAGAGCACTTGCCTAGCACATGTGAGGCACTGGGTTTGATCCTCAGCCCCACATAAAAAATAAATAAATTAAATAAAGGTTTAAAAAAAAGAGCAGAAACTAAA